TTTTTTTACATACTATGTGTGTGTACTGTGTACATTTATTATGTGTATATAAATACACACATACAGTATATATTTAAAAAATATATTTGCATGTATATATGTGTATATATTTATATTGACAATTTATATTATATATATATTTTTTTCTTAAATATATACATGCATGTGTGTGCATTTATATATACATAATAAAACTACACAGTACACATGCATATATTATGTCAACAAATATTTTTTTGGATGCGTGCAATTAATCGCGATTAATCGTTTGACAGCACTAATATATATATATATACACATACAGACATACACACTGGTCTTTTTGTTTATTTATTTTAGTAGTTTTATCTGCAAATATGTTTTTGCACATGGCATAATTGTTTTTAGAGTTGTAGACTCTAAACGTTTTGTAGTACATTTTGTATAATGACCATAAAGACTCTGATTCTATAATATTCTACACCCGAGTGAGCTTCAGAGGGCTGAGAGGGTTGAGAGTCTGACCTGGATTGTAGCGCTTGGCTTTCACCATCCCCGTGTCGATCACGTATTTGATGCCGGAGATGGTGATGGAGGTTTCCGCGATGTTTGTGGAGAGAACCACCTTCCTGGATCCCTGTAAGGCACAGAGAGCAGCGTGAGAGCGAGCGCGGGTTCAGCGTGTGGCGTCAGTGTCTCTGGTGCTGCAGGGACCTTGGGCGCGGGCTGAAACACCCGCAGCTGCTGAGCCGGCGGCAGCGAGGCGTAGAGCGGCACCACCGTCATCGGCCCGCAGCTCTCCGGCAGGTGTTTGGAAATGTCCCGACAGGTGCGAGCCAGCACTTCAATCTCCTCCTGACCCGTCATGAACACCAGGATATCATGCGACGCTGGAGCTTCCTGTAAGAAAATATGCATCATGTTTTAAGAGAAAAAATATCAAAAAAAAAATATTGCTATCTTGTAAAGAAAAGTCTTATTTTGTAAGAAAACAACTACAGTTGTATTTTTTAAATAGGTATATTTAAGAACATAAGTATTGTTTTAAAGAAAATAAGAAAATTGTATTTTATAAAGAAATTATTATTATTTAAAAAATATTGCTTTGTCATTTTTCACAAATGATAAGATGTTTTTAAAGTATAATTTTTTTAAGAAAGTAGTATTTTTTAAAGAAAATAAGTATAATTTTCATAAATAGCATTTTAAAGAAACTAAGTATTGGAAAATAAATGATTTTAAATAAAATAAGAAAATATATTTAAAGATTATTATTTATTTTTTTAAATAAAACAAGTAATGTTTAATCGTTTTTTTAAAGAATATAAGTATAATATTTAGGAAAATTAGTATAGATTTTAAAGAAAATATGTTTTTTAATAGAATAATTATTGTTTTATCTGTTTTTTTATAATTTTTTTAAATAAGCATGTTTTAAGAAAATATGTATAGATTTTAAAGAAAATAAGTATAGTTTTTTTTTAAATAAGCATCATTTATAAATAAAAAAAGTATTGGTGATGTGTTTTTCATTTTAGGAAAATAAGATTTTTTTTTTTTTTTAGAAAATTAATATATTTTAAAAAAATGTTTAACAGGAAATGTTTTTTTTGTTTGTTTGTTTTTAGGAAAATAGTTTTTTTTAATAAAATAAGAAAAAATAAAGAAAATAATCTTGCACTTCAAACAAAACCAAAAATCCAGAATTAACTTAACCATTTGAAGCTAAAAAAAATAGCTGTGAGCAAAAGGAATAGAGTGAAAATATGATAAAACACACATCAATCAATCCAAAAGACACAGAGCAACTCGTTAAAACTTATTAGAAGTCAAAGACATGATCAAATGTCAATGACACTGGAATCAGTCATGAGAGTGTGTGTGTGTGTGTGTGTGTGTGTGTGTGTGTGAGACGGACCTGGTGAATCTGAAATATGGAGACGAGCGCTGCCTGCAGATAGTCGGACTGAGGCTGTTTGGTGTAGTAGATCTGAATGGGATGCTGTCGGCCCTCCAGATACAGAACCGGTGATTTGTTGAAGTACTGAGAGAACAGATCCACATCCATGGTGGCAGACATCACAACAACCTACAGACCAACAGCATTCACTCACAGTAAACATTACAGCATCTCTGCAGTGCAAAGGTGACTACAGATGATTAAATATACACACAACCAATTACAGACCAATCAGAGTCCAGCATGCAAATATTATAGTGACGTCATCACTGTTACATTTTTGAATGCTGAACATTCTATAAAAGATTTTCAAATTTAAATCCTACATTTCTTTAAACTTCACAAAAGCATGAATGTTGCATGGAGTCTGTACAGTATGTTAAGCAGTTCAGAATGAATGAATTGCAGTAATTTAGTATTAAAAACATTTTATTTCAGCTTATTTTATTCAAGGAAACATTTAGCTTTTCTATTTAGCTTAACTTGGAAAAAATAACTAAAACTGAAATAAGAGCAACTATATAGACATATTGAAAGAAAGAAAAAATGACTAAAAATGCTAACTAAAATTAAAATGAAAACAAAAAAATACAAATTAAATATATTTTTTCAATAAAATTCACAATATTAGAGAAAACTACAGATTGCCAATGCAACATTTCTATTTTTATTTAATTTAACTCGATGAACTAAAATAGATAAAAATTAAACTGAAAAAAAAATTGTTAAAAACTATATAGATGTGATTTTAAAAAATGGAACATATTAAAATAAAAATCTCTATATTTTAATTAGTCGGAGTAATCCGAAAAATTCACAACAAACAAAACTGAAATAAAATGTATAAAAACCAAACCATATGGACTTTTAAAAACAAATCAATTAAAACTAATAAAAATGGAAAAATGCGAAACAAATTTACGAAAACTTTGACTAAAACTAAAATAAAAGAAAAATTATTTTATAAAACAGAGAGTTCCGGTGCTTGACTCTGATTGGCTGAGCCGCGTTCGAAGCTGTTGTGAATGACGCTACAAAGTAACACACACCTTTGTTTACGTTTGTGTGTTGCTCGGCAACCACTTTGTAGCAACCACAACTGTTTCTGAGGAGCTACATTGTTTGGTGGAAGAATACTGTTTTTATTAATATCATTACACTTTATTTGCTCTGTTTTATTTTGTGAAACCTTACTACGTGTATGGAATAACCGTGTTTTATAAAAGCAATAACCCCCGTGAAGCCGTGGTTTACAGTGAATTTATAACAGTGCCTAACAACACCCCTTAGCTGTTATAAATTCACTGTAAACCATGGCTTCTTGGGGCTTATTGCTTTATTCTAATAATCAACTTTTCTAATAAATGTCTTAGTTTGATCTTAAGGATAGGCCAGGTTCTCTTGAAGCATAACTAGCTGTACTAAAATGTCATATTGAGACCCTTATAAATAAAACACAACATTTGTGTCAATATTTACAAAGCGGGTTCTCTCGTACCTTCAGAGGTATTTTGTTCTGTTCATTGCGCTTGCGTTGAGCGGCCTTCACCACGCCGAACAGCACGTCTGTGTGAACGGTGCGCTCGTGAGCCTCGTCCAGGATCACCACGGTGTAGCGCAGTAGTAACGGATCGCCTATCGCCTCCCGCAGCAACATCCCATCCGTCATGAACTTCAGCTTGGTCTCCGACGACGTGACGTCCTCAAAGCGCACCGTGTAGCCCACCTGAGACCAGAGTGTGAGTACTGCATCACATACTGACATTCATATTCAGATGATGCAGATGGAGAAAGTGGAGTGGAATGTGATCTTCAGTCGTGAAAACACACCAGTTTTCCCAGCTGGACCTTCTTCTCTTCGGCCACTCGTGCTGCCAGTGATACGGCGGCGACGCGGCGCGGCTGAGTGATGCCGATGATGCCCTGCCGGCCGATGCCGGCCTCATACAGGTACTGCGGTATCTGCGTGGTTTTACCTGAGCCTGTCTCACCTGCAACAGGAAAACATCACCTGTGTGCTACTATAGTGTGCTTTCTGACAAATATCCTCACAAATACACTGAAAAACACAACTTGGTCGGGACAAGATCACAGGAACCAGTTGAGTCCTCTGCACAATCTGACTTTGCTGCAGCATGGATCAACCTGCTGGTTTCATCTGTTCAGAGGCGAACTGGCCCCCCGACTGAGCCTGGTTTCTCCCAAGGTTTCTTCTCCATTCTGTCATTCTGTTAATATCCAGTGATATCGTGGTCTTGATTGCACAGATACTATTTAAAACCGAACTGAGCTGGATGATGATATCACTGAATTCAATGATGAACTGCCTTTAACTGAATATTGAGTGTTTACTATTGTCATTTTGCATTATTGACACACTATTTTCCCGTTTGATACTGTAAAGCTGCTTTGACACAATCTTTATATTCCCGATTACTAGTATGTGTACAGGCTTGCCATTTTCAGTGCAACGTTGTAATTAGCAATCCATGTAATTTGTGTGTGTGACAGCATTAATTAAAGTTTCTTTAGTAAAGCCACTCCCATAATATCTGTCAGCACTCAAATCAATGCAGGGCTCAGATTACCTGCACAGCATGTGTGTAAGACTCTAAAACAGTTATAAAAGTTATTATTTTATCACGAATAAATCATTCAATGAGTAAAACTGGCTGTGTCTATAGTATTATAGGTTACACAGCATTATAATATTATTTTCACATTATTATTACTGGTACTTTAAATGATTGTCCCTGGATTAGTAGGGTACTATTGTAATATTTTGAGCAAAAAGGTGAGAATCACATTTTTATCAAACATCTGGATAATATTCAGTACTGTTATCAAAGCATAAATCCAGTAAATGGCTTCCATCAACACCTCCAAAGCTTGCACAGACATATACCACTTTCTGGATCAACATTTAACTCCGTAACATTATGCTGTTTTCATTTATATGCTGTCTATTGCTGATGATCGCTTTATTTTTCATATGCATCTGTTTACATAAGAGATCGCTGGTTTCTCCGTCCTGTTCACGTGTGTTTTTGTTCGGGAGGTATTGTACTCGTTCAGAAGATGCGTAAGAGTGCCCCGAGTGAAAGCCGTAAAACTGGTCTTTGGCAGTGAAGTGTTTTCTTGTAAAAGACGAGATGACTCGTCAATGGTGGGGAAAGAGTTAAAGGTCCCATATTGACAAAAATTTCCTGGCTTTTTTCATGATAACTGAGGTCTAGGTGCTATGTAACTACCGGATAAGTTTCAAAACCGTCAGTCCACAGTGAAATTCACACAGCCTGCTTAAAGTAGCTTCTTTTTTTATGAACTGTTGTGACTTCCGTAAAAAGTTGATGTCACAACTACACAGTCACCGCCTTCAGTCATCCTCCCCCCTGAACACCGCCCAGCGTCCCACTCTCCTTTAGCCAAACCCCCAGACAACATTGCGTCCATGCCATTGCTGAGCAACAACAACAACACGGAAACATGTCGAAAAGGTTAACTTTAACCACGAAACCAGATCGGCCGACCTGTAACGTGACTCTCACTCAAAGGATGGGACGATCTGGCAGGATTGTTACTATGAGGTGATCACATCTAACGTGTAGTAAAGACAAACTGACCGTGTCTAGTATCTAGTCATGATGAAGATGTTTATACATTTCAATTTCAGCAGGCAACTATTTTTACAGCTACATTATTGTTCCAGCCACAATTAATCACAACAATGTATATACAATTACAAGTGATTATATATAAATC